CGAGACAGACACACACCGACCCAGAGAGGGAGGCAAGGAAAATGCGACACCCAACAGTGGTGGGGAGGGGGAAAGTGTGGCGGAGAGGTGCAGAGGAGAGGGAAAGTGGGAGAGAGGGCAGGAGGGAAAGAGGAAGGGGCAGAAGGAGAAAAAACAAGAGGGAGGAGAGCGGAGGGAAAGAGGGACGAGGAGGGAAAAGTGGGAGTGAGGGAGGCGAAAATGGCGGAGGCAGGGGGGGAGACGTGGGTGTCAGGGAGGGAAAGGAGGGAGAGCGGAGGAAGGAACATAGGAGTGTCGTGGGGGAGACGGGGAGTGAAGGAAAGGATAAAGTGGGGGGGACAGACCGAGGGAAGGAAAAGTGGATGGGGAAAGCGAGTGGCAGTGAGGGAAGGAAAGTTGAGGAGAGGGAAAGTGAGAATAGGTAGGAAAGAAAAGTGGGAGAGAAGGAAGGGAGGGAGACAAAGAAGAGTACCAGGGAAGAGAGTGGAGTGAGGAAAGAAAAGTGGGGACGGGACCAGGCAGTACGAATAGACAAAGACGAAAAAGGTGGAGAAGAGAGCAGCAGAGAAGAAAGACGAAGCGAGCAGAGACGAGAGAGAGACGAAGAGAGAACCGACGACGAGAGAGATACGAGAGAGAGAGACGACGAGAACGACTAGAGATGACAGAAGTGAGAGACCTGAGAGAGAGCAGACGAGGAAAAGGAAGTACGGGGGCAGGAGCTGTGAAGGAATGGGGGAGAAGGCGAGGGAGGCAGTGAAGGGGACCGCAGAAGAAAAGGAACAGAGGAATAAAGGCGTAAGAGAAGAAGGATAACAAGGGAAAATGCATACGATAAAATCAGAGAGACGACCCGAAGAAGGACGACAAAAAGCGAAAATAAAAACTAAAAGAAAGAATGAAAAAGAAAGGAAAGAGAGAATGAAAGAGAAAGGAAAGAGAGAGTGAAGGAGAGGAGGAAAAGAACGGGGAAAGAAATAGGAGAGGGAGAAAACAAAGAACAAAAAGACTACAAAGAGAAGAAGAAAATGGAAGACACAGTTAAAGGTGAGCTGGTCTTCCAAGATGAATGTATTTTTCTTGGTCTCGAGGCATCATCTATCGAACGCTTGTTTATCTTTTCATTTATTCATCTTGTTATAACCTTCATTTCCGAGGCTAGTTGTCGAGGAGGAAGAGGAGAATGGGAGTCTTTATCGATATTAGTTAATGCTTTGAGAATGCCCTCATCCTCATTGCGACGTGCTATCTTCTCCATCTCTCTCTTTCTTTCTTTCTTTCTCTCTCTCTCTCTCTCTCTTTCTCCTCTCTCTCTCTCCCTCTCTTCTCTCTCCTTCTTTCTCTCTCCCTCTCTCTCTCTCTCTCTCTCTCTCTCTCTCTCTCTCTCTACTCTCTCTCTTCTCTTCTCTCTCTCTCTCTCCTCCTCTCTTCTCTCTCTCTCTCCTCTCTCTCTCTCTCTCTCTCTCTCTCTCTCTCCGTCTCTCTCTCTCCTCTCTCTCTCTCTCCTCTCTCTCTCTCTCCCTCTCTCTCTCTCTCTCTCTCTCTCTCTCCTCTCTCTCTCTCTCTCTCTCCTCTTCTCTCTCTCTCTCTCTCTCTCTCTCTCTCTCTCTCTCTCTCTCTCTCTCTCTCTCTCTCTCTCTCTCTCTCTCTCTCTCTCTCTCTCTCTCTCTCTCTCTCTCTCTCTCTCTCTCTCTCTCGTCTCTCTTTCTTTCTCCCTCTCTATGGTTTTCTGTTTTGTTTTTCTCAATTAACATCATCTCCCTCTCTCTCTCTCTCTCTCTCTCCCCTCCCCCCCCCCTCTCTCCCCCACCTCCCTCCCACCCTCTCTCTCTCTCTCTATCCATCTTCTCTCTCTCTCTCTCTCTCTCACAAACCTTCCCGTCCTTATGCTAAGATCACAGAACCTTTCAATCATGCTGTCAACCCAAAATTACCCAGAACGTCACAGACTCTCGCTGCCTTCCTCTCCCTGCAACATTAGCATTCACTTAGTTGCAAACGACGGGCGGTTTTATGAGGGTCAAAGTGGTCTAATGCTCTAATAAATCTTGATAAACACTATTTGATGTTAAAAGTGCACTTGTCTGGCCTTGCTTAAACCGCCCGAGATCTCTTTGTTGGGGAGGAAGTGCTTAATCTTCGCTCGATTGTCAGTCGGCAATCGTCGCCCCGTATAAATGGGGGGAGGGGGGGAGGGGCGATTATGCAGGCACGCAGGAAAATCAACACACGAAGATACATACACACAGAGGCAGGGTAGGAGGGAGGAGGGATAGGGAGGGAGGGAGGAGGAGGAGGGAGAGGGAGGAGGGAGAGCAGGGAGGGAGGGAGGGGGAGGGAGGGAGGGGAGGGAGGGAGGGAGGGAGGAGAGGAGGGGAGGAGGGAGGGAGGAGGGAGGGAGGGAGGGAGGAGGGAGGGAGGGAGAGGAGGGAGGGAGGGAGGAAGAGAGAGAGGGAGGGAGGAGGGGAACAAAAATAAGCTATGGATAGAAAGATAGACAGGCAGACAGACAGACAGATAGATAAATTGATAGGTAGACAGACAGGCAGATAGACAGACAGATAGATAAATAGACAGATAAATAGACAAAAAGAGATTCATGTCCCCCCGTTAAAAAAAATTCTCTGATTCCCTTATACCATTGAGGTCTATGAGGTGCTTCTCCAGCAGACAACGAGCAGACGCACACACCCTTTTAAACGCCAAAAGTTACGAGCGAGTCTAAACTGCGCCACAATCGATATCTCGGCTAATTATATAACCTTAACAGAGAACCAGAGATCTTGTTTCCACAGGTCGAGAGATAAACAAAAGCGAGAGAGTGAATGACATTTTGAGATTCGTGTTTTTTTTTTTTTTTTTGTTTTTTCGTTTTTTTTTTTTTTCTTTTAAATTAGTGATATATTCTTTAAGACAAAAGAACAAGGAACCGG